TATGTATTATCAGGTTTTCAAATTATATTTGCATTCTTGAATTATTAAATGTATAATCTCAATGCATAATTTTAATACGAACATCAATTTTATATGTGAAATTGCCATAGACATTCGAGAATACACCGAATGCTTAAATGGGACATTTGAGACCAGGTGGTTGAAAAAAAGAAAATTAATGGGACAATTCCTTTTTTCTATCGGCATTTGAGGGAGAGAGACATACATACACAACACAGAGAGAGTCTTCCAATTTCAAAACGGGATTAACAAAAATTGGACTCTCAGTCAGTCAATTACTTGAAATAGTATCTGATTACTTTAATTAACTTCTTTCCTATCTAGGATCATATATTTATAGATAGAACGTAAAATTAGTAGTAGTAATTTTAAATCAAGTGGCGACAGTTACAAATTAACAGGGCTGGGGTCGCGGTTCAACAGACGAACCCGATGCGATTGCGATTAGGCGAAATCCAGGAAACTTCTGCCGGCTATGCAGGACTTAAAGTAAAAGTTGGTACTCTAACTGAGGGGCGCTGGCGTGCTATCTCTTCTGAGCGATTGGCTCCGCGTTCTGTGTTCCGCTTGGAGGACTTTGGATTTAAATGACCAGGAATTTCGTGTATCGATCCCGCCACTGTCCACGTCATATATCACGCGCACGTTATCTATGCACGTTCAACATTTATTTCACAAACTCGTGTAAAATGTAGAAAGAATTCCGATTAAACGTCCTAGTGATTTACACGATTCCCTTTAATGAATATCAGTTTCCATTATCAAAATGTACGAACTTACTTATTCATATATCGCGTTATATATTTTAAATCATAAATTTGACTTTAAACGAACTATTGCTTTAAGTAATTCAATAATTTTGTACTTTTATCTTCTTAAACGTCAGTATTAAGTTATGTAAAATTAATTCATAATTATCGTCCATTGATCACGAGTATAGTAACTGTTGGACGTGAAAGCACATCATGAAGTTATACTTGTCATGTTTACTAATGTTTTCATCGAAAGAGGAGATCTGACAATGAGAGAAACAGCATAAGACATTTTCTGAACGGAAACGATAAAAGATCGGCGACGTACAAATTTGATTCGAACTAGAATACAGAAGTTTAAGTACTGTATAAGCATTTATGTCATTTCTCCTGACTAGGATTTATCTTTCGAAAGGAATTTAAAAATTTATCTTACGCCGCGACGATTTTTCAAGAATTGAAATTTTTACGGTTGCACTCTTTTTAGGGCCGCGTAAATAGTATCTCGTGTTTAACTTCGCTTTAAGCGTACGGCTATAAACCTCGCGTTATCAAATCCGGAAAAGCGTCGCAGTGGAATGGATAAAAGGTGAGCGTTGTAAACGGATAATAGGGTTTCGCGCTCGAATTTCGTCGCATGCTTATTACGCCTGTGTACCGTTGTTTACTCTTGCTTAACGTTTAATGCAACATTTTCAACTGGCGCAAGATAGCGCCGTAATTAAAATTATTTCAGACTCAGTAAGAAATGTCATATAAAATTGTAAAAAATGTTTCGATGAAATGATTAAATAAGTTATTGTATGTGATATTAGTCATATACATATAGTCATTGAATATATAAATTGTATATGTAGAATTCATTGAATGTCCTCATAAAATCCATAAGTAAGATGTTACGTACACCACAAATGCAATTTGATATCACATTCGATTCTCCCGTGTATTAAAATAATTTTATCCTGATGACTTGTGAAACGAGATATCGGATAGGAGAAAACACGAGGATAATTTCGCAACGAGCTAATTATTGTCCAGCAAATAGAGTTATGAAACGTAGTAATAAGCAGAGAACTTAGTACTACAGCGCAAGGCGTAGCGCACTATCCTTTCGGGAGAAACATTTCAGAAACATTTTTCTGGGAATTAAACATCAGAGATTTCCAACGTCAAAATGTACTCGCTTCGGAAACCTGTGAAAACTTAGAAGAACATTTGCAAACGAAGAGGAGTTCAAGTTTCAGGTTACAGACGGTGTATTAAATTGCACGTTACTAGAATTCTAGGATCATGATAAATTTTACTTCCTTTCTGTAAAGGTAATGTAGCGTAATAAAAAATGTGAAATTGTCAAAAAGATGTTTAATCTCTATTGACAATTCCTGCCTAATTTTCTATCATTTTTCTTCATTCGTATAGTCTATAATGTGCCTTCGACCGTTTAAGGTCGAACTAAAATTGTACAGATATTCATTGTTAAATGTAAGTAGCTGGTAATACGACATCCTTTAATTTAAAAGTTTTAATGATTCTCCGTCGAACCTTGTTGAAAGAGAGTTTCCGCGGAAAGTGCACGTTCGGGTAATATTTTAATAAAGGCGACGAGATTGTACGGGCGGCGACGAGGTTTAGTGTAGAAAAGCGAGTAGTTGGCGCGAACAAAGAACGAGCTGATTAATGAGCATCCCTTAACGGGACTCGAGAAGTAAGATGAGTAAAACGAACTCCGGAGGATAAATCTTGCAATAGCTCATTCAACTTCATTTTCCGATGCTCGCCAATACATCGGTGAAGTGGCCGTGAAAAAAGTCGCTCGCTTCTCCCATCTCGATGAACTTCTTGCGTCATGATTGATGGAAGGGCTATCTTTTGTAACGTGGACTGCCGATCCGTTTTACGCAGCGGCATTACGTCGAGCGCTAACTAAACAAACCGCGGTAAAGTGGTTAATGATCCAAAAAAATCTTTTGTGAAATGCAGCAGCTCGGCGCAGAAATAAAGGGAATGGAGTGGACTGTGTTATGTCGGAAGAGATAGAGGGTCACAATTTTTGCGGGCTGAATTTATTAAAACCGCTAAGTCCGTTCCGGTGTAATGAAATTAAAAGTAAACTTCGCTTGCGATTTATTCTGCTCGGTCGTGGTTCTCAGCCTGAATTTCCATGCTACGAACACGGAACTCTGTTTCGAATGGAAAAACCGTGCCGATTGAGTCGTGGAAATGAGAGCAAATTTGTGAATTAGTATGCCACGATTATAGATAAGCCAAATAATACATTTTCAATGTCTCCAACAAAAAAACACTGATGTCATAAAATAATGTATCAATTATTATCACTAATATAAATAACAGAATTGCAATTTCATTATGGTAAATCTTCCTGTTATTTCATTTTCAACTTGATTCCTAATTCTGAACGAGTCGAAACGTAATTCAACTGGAAAATAGAGAAACATTTGCTATGCATGAACCTAATACTTATTCCCATATTTATTCGTGGCCTGATTCCTAAAACGGTCGTATCGCGGTGCATCACGCGGCGCGACGCATGTACGTCGATACCGGAGGCGCCGAATACATTAGGACGTCTGGTACGTATAGCAGTACGTCGGCGATTTAACCGGCTATCGACTCGTCAAACCGTCAAATCAGCTTCAAATGCACTAGTTTATACAGGCTGAGTCACGTAATTGCTTCGTCGGATAGCGTTCAGTGGTTCAATAAGTTTCACCTATTTATCGTCTTTTCTCCAAAGAAATTTTATTATTCGAAGACGTAAATATATCTGTGTAGAGATAAATCAATCATCTAAGAGAGTTCTATGTCAAATACTGCAATCGATAAAATTATGTTTTAATTCATATTTTCTACATTTAATAATAGTATATAGTTTATCTTTATTCGAAACAGGATAAAACAATTATTCTTTTTTATGTTTATGGACCCTGAAAATTGTCGGAAGTCTTAACACGCTTGAGGATCCATATTGGAATTCAGGATTGGGTTAGGTCAATTTCTCTCGTTTATTTCTAATTCTTCATTCCTTATCGAATTCCATGGAATAGCGAGGTTTGAAAAGAAAAAGAATACCTCGTGGTACGGTGCCGAAAGTTACATACCACCCGAGATTTGCAAATTACCGGACGGAGAGTAGCTGCCGTCGCAGGCATGTAGCGTCGGCTTGCGGCGGCAGCGCGGTTTTAAGCTCGATTATGTCGACGCCTTCAACGACGCTCCCGTTCCTTTTAAATAGAGAAGAAGAGTTACGCCCCGGGTACAGGTGGATAACTGAAATTCCATCGCTCCTTAGGAATGCGTTTTATTCACTAGAACAACGCAGCGTGAGCGAAGTAGAAATTCTCGATAACTGCATATCCAAATTCTGCAGAAATCATTTTGCATACAACCGAGTGAATTCTCGGAAAACAGATGTATTTTTTCGCTAGATATAAAATGCATTATTAAATTAAATGATAATTTAATATCAAATTCCATATGAAACTTTTTCCTAATAAGTTCAAATTTATAATAAAAACTTTATTAAAAAGTTGATCAACAAAATTCACAGTGGAATCCGCGACCGTTTCAGCAATGTGTTTTCAATATTAATCAATCTGGATTTAAAACATCGACGAACGACTCAATACGAAATTCTGTCCTAATCTGAAATTAGCAACAGAAATGTTATTCCTAAAGTTACTCAATAAAATATCTTTACTGTGGAGTTCGCGACTGTTGCAACAATGAATTTGCCCTCATTGTTAGTCAATCCGGATTCGAACGAGTCGAAGAACGACGATCGATGAACGGTGGCGACACGCGCTGCACGGGCGATTTCACGCTTTCCATGATCGAATCGTTGAAACGAAACGAGCATCGAGACGGGGACAATCGGGTGACATAACGTAGGAACGTTGACCCCTCGAAAGCGTTCCGCCCTTTTTTTTCACGCGTTCTTACACGAAATCGTTTCTGGATCGGCCGCATTATCTCACGACTGTTACGGATACCGTTTTAGCCGATTAGACGGGAGTAGCGTGATTTTTCTTTTTCTCGGTCGTTCTTGCCGGAACAACTTGCCAGATCGATAGAAATTGTGTAAACGACATTACAAGTAAAGTGAAATGTAAAACAGGTCGGCTGCATAAAACAATTCTAAACACAGTTATTCATGGAATAATTTCTTGATTCGTTCAATTTACATTCGTAACGAGGTATTCTATAACTAACACGAGGACGAAGCTCATGATTAACAAAGTGCCTATAAGATTGTATCAAATAAATGGAATTAAATACTCTCTATTTTCAATTATACAATTTTAAATCCATTATTCTGTAGAAACCTAAAATACCATTTTTCGTTTCCGATTAAAAACGTATCGAATTTCCAGTTATACAACTACTGCGCTGCGCTATATATTACGTATGAAAATCCTGCGAAACATTCAGAAGTTGGAAATCGTTGCGAAATCCCTTGAATCTGTCGCGACGTCTCCCTTCTGCCGGTACGAAAATTTCTGCGGAAGTGGGAGGAATCGGATAAAGCAGCCTCTACTGAAGTTTACACAACAAACGATCGGCATCGATACCGATGAATCTGGTTGAATATTTGGGAGGCATGTGGCAAGAATCGATCCTTGCACTGCTGCTCCTCGCTTGTTGCGGTTCGCTCGAGGCTCGCGCCGAGGATGACGTCGTCACCGTCGAATCGCTGCGTCGAGACGTCCGAGCACCGTTCGCCACCGAGGTCGACGATTTGCTCGGCGCGGGAAACTCCCCTGGGACGCAGCAAGCAAATAAAAAGGAGAACGCGTCCGGTATATTTTCAACATTCATTTTAATCACCGTAATTACTGGAATTTTGTAGAGGCCTCTTGTAAAAGAATTGAAATTCGAAACGGAGTGCTCGTCGAAACGTATAAACGATGAGAAGTTCATTACTCATCGTACCCGAGTAATTAATGAGTTTTCATTAATTAATGTAATTTATTTTGAATCTGAAAATATAGTACAAGCACCTCTCAGTCAAAATTGACTAAAATTCTGTAATACTTTACAGACACAGAACTTTATGCTCGCCATGGGAACCTAATCTAATACCAGTATATTAAGAAACAATATTGGATTACTAATTATCCTTCACTCTAATCTTCGAATTGCAACAAATCTAATAAGAACGGGATTAACAAATTTGTAGGAGAAAGGTTCGGGGGAAACGAGCCGTAAGCGGAGTACTCGAGGTCTAGTATCGTCGGGGCGATAACAAGCACGAATAATACCGTGGTTTTAGGCAAATCAGACGAGGGAGGATACTACAAGACGTACGGGAGCGACGCCGAGGGTGAGAAGGGTTACTTGAAGGCAACCTACGGCAAGGGCAATCACGGTTATAAGACCCTCGACACCTTCCACAAGCAGGACGGCGACAAGTACGCGTTCGAGGAGCACACCGCCTACGGCAAAGCGCGCGGTGACAAGAAAAGTAGCCACAACGACGAGGCTGGATCTCGTTCCGAGAAACACGGTGATCACGAGGGCGCAGGTACGAGGAAACTATACTGTACCGTGTAAAGCACGGTAATTGCGCGGGGATTAAAGTTTCTGTGGTCTTAACTTCAGACGCAACAATTTTTTACTTGTTCGGTGGTGGATGGTATGACTCGTGTAATACTACACTATTATTGTACTAGACATAATACTGTATTATGAAAATTATCAAGCTTTTAAGATGTTCTTGAGAAATGATCATATTTTGCTTCTAATAAGATATCTGTATAAACTGAATTATTACCGCAGTACTACGAAATTAAATGGAAACTATATCCGCGGAAGTTTCCTCAATGGACTGCGCGATTAGAATATCGGATTACATCAACGGGGTAACTATGTCCACCGAAGCTTCGGCATACCTAATTTTAATACCTAACAGTGTTACCGATTACTTTCACGGAAGCAGATTATTTAATCGCTTACGTGTGACCAACAAGGTTCGATATTATATCCAAACAAATTTGATTACCGCGCGAGAATCTTGATTAAAAATCAATATAACCGTTGTAGCCTAAATTTAGTTTCGAATTTCTATTACCAGTTGTGATTATGCCATAAACTTCCGAAGGTACCATCGTCGATACCCATTATGCAGCCGATGAGGGTGAACATTATGACGGCGCTGAAGCGGACGATCACGACAGCTATACTCACGCAGGCGGCGATCACTATACGGGTCATGGACCAGAATCTTCGAGCCAGGGACACAGCGAGAGTTACAGCGACGGCGACGGCAGTTCTTACAGCAGCCACAGCTCGTACTCGAAGAGCTCTGGCGACGAAGACGGCGGAGGCCATTACTATTAATCATTCGCTAACGGGTCGCCGCGCCGTCGTCCAGTTGTCTGGCCTTCCGCAAGAACTGTTAACACGGTAAAAGCATTTCGTTTTGTGAAATAAAGTGTGAATACAATAACTTATCGGTATAAATGTCAGATCATTTTAAAGAAGAATAAAAACTGAATAATGTTTGTTGAGCGAATTCGTCTCGTCCAATTAGATACGATTTTAAACACTCAGGTTACGTTCGTATATGAGACTGAATCGGTATAATTGGAAACGTGAAAAATAGAACATTTTTCGCAGTAATTACGTTTTAAAACTTCTTTGAAAATATCGAGTGAACAATTATAATTATACAAATTGAATAAATGGGTTTGCCCGTGTTGTCATCAATTACGAGTCAATGAAAACCAATCCATTACAATAATAATCGAATCGTGATTAATTTCACAATGCTACTTAAAATTAAGAGTATCATTATAAAAATACTGTCAAATGATACATTATATTGAAAACAAATCCAAACTGGAATGTTCAAACAGTACTTATTATTTTTCATTGGAATCATTAATTGAAAACGTTCGGAATCTTTCGTTCGAAATTGACTTTATTAATTACTGATTTTTCATGTGATGATAACTATATAAAAACGAATGCAATCGCATAAAGGGCTTGTTAAGACCTGAATTTTCTCGACTTTGTCAGTGTTCCCGATTGTTGAACAGCAATAACACGACTGCCAATTATTTCAGAAATTCATTGTACGCGCGTGCCCGTTGCGTAACGAATACACAACAGAACGCAATTTTGATACCGCGCGAAAGTGCTGTCCATCGTTATTGCGAAAATTTAATGATATTACGTTGCGCCGCATTGATGAGTCGATCTAAATTGCAATTAGTCATTGGCGGCTGTTGTCCGTCGTACCTCGTTACATTAAACACACCGTCTATCCGTGATCGATCATAATTACTGCCTGGTTTCCTATCCGATACTACGTTCATTTTAAGTCCCGCAATAAACTTCGTCTCCCCTTCAACTAACTTTAAACACCCTTTTTAATTATAAAAAGTGCATTTTAAACCTCGTTGTTTATACGATTCCTCTTTAAATAGCTAATCAATATGAATTTTGTATTAATATTTTGTAAAAACAATATTTTCTGAATAAATTAAAGGTAATGAGTAAGTGAGAACAAAATACGCAGAGCAAAAACGTATCACAACACGAAATGTGACATCTATCAATTTTATGTATAAAGCAGACGGCGAGTTAACACTTCTTTCGAAAGTTAAATTGGTATCTCGGTTTCACGCAAAATAGAGAAACGGCATTAGCGTTGTCTGTTTCGACGCTGACGAAGAAACAGCGGGAGGCGGGTTTGTTAAAAAGTACGAACGGTCACGCGACGATATCAGTCTGATTTGACACGAGGTGAGAGGGTGCGCGAGTGGGAATTCGCGGCGGATTTTGCAATTATTTATAACGAGGAAACTTTTGGTGCGGCGAAGCGCGGCAATCGGTTGTTCGTTAATTGCGCGAGATAATTATTGTTAAACGGCGCGCGCGTGACAAAGGATGATTTCCCTGTCATCGCTAGCATTGGAAGCCTCGACTAATTTCGCGCTTAAGGACGAGGAACTCGTCAAACTTTTAGTCTTTTGCATCGCGTCACTTTCATTCGGTTCATGAAAATTGCGTGCAGGTACGTAGGCTAATTTGTACGATTATTAAGATGAAATTACAGTTTCGAATTATGAAAATCAATAGTTCATCTATTCCGTCAATTCTTTTGACTTTTTTATATTTTTAAATATTCTCAAAAATATAGGAAAATGAATGAGATTTAATTATCCATTTAATCTCGCAACTGCACGATTTAATTTCACCCACATAAAATAAGATACAACTTTTTCTCGTTAAACGGTGCCACGAAAACTGCCATCGTGCGTGAAATTCGATCATCCTATCTCCCGTGAAATAAACAACCTCGTCCTCGAGTTTCGAGCCGGTCGGCGCGGCACTCATTGCACGCAATCCACGTTCGAGTGCACTTAATCGGAATCACCTCGTGAGCCCCCGGAACAGACAAGTCGAATCGTCGAATGTCAATGTTAGTTACCCTTCTTCTCGGTCGAGAACAGTGCGAGTCCGTTACCGAGCGAAGTGGGCCCGAATTAGGAAACAATTTCATTAGATGTCCAATGGACGCTCGCCATTGTTCGCGGCCCACGATTCGATCATTCGATTCGTCCTGCGACAGAGCATCGAATGATGCACTTACTCCGTGATAGAGGACAAGTATCGAAAAAAATTATTGTCAATTAACTTCACATTTAATACAACGTTTCGGCGAGGCAAAGAAGAACGAGAGACCTTTCTGATGAAGATAGTTTAGGTTTCTTAAAGAAGAGTTTCATGTTGGTGCAAATGAATAAACTTTTAGATTAGACGTTTATAACAGATAGAGCATTTCTTTTTTAAATTCACAAAGAAGGATGTACCGAATGCAATGAAAATATGAGGTAAGATAGAAAAGGAATGAAGAAACAGAAGAGACTTGGAGATTCGGAAAGTCAATCGCAGCGGAAGCGGCGTCACGTAGCTGAATTGTTTTCCAGTAACAGGGCATCGAGTACTGGAAGACTTAATTTAATAGTCGGCGGCCGATTCTTTTCCAGACGAAGGGGGTGGAGCGGCGATCCAGCACGCGACACGGCGTCCTTGGATCTGCTTACAAAGCAATCTCTCCATCTGGGAGGATCCAAAGGGAACGGCACCTAATCTAATCTCCGTTACGACGATGTCGAGTCCAAATCGAAGTTGGCAGAGTCTCCGGTATCCGGTTTTCTTGCCGGTTCTCGAAAAGGAGCAGAGGAGCCGGCCAGTAACCAATCTTTATCTTGATTATGCAGCGCCAACGCCGGAGAAGCCAATCTCTAGCCGAACAGACTGCCAAATAAGGTCGTAAAGAGCCTCGAATCTATCGATCACCGTTTCAAACTGCGCGAATTCGCCACTGCTGATTTGCAATGGAGATTGTCGAAACGAAGAAGACGCAACGTTCAGTGAGTGACTAAAAAAGGAGATTTCGAATCTGTATCGGATGATGCTTATTCCCTCACTCGCAGCGAATTTTAACGACCGTAAACTCAGTGATTTCCCGTGGGTATTCAAATCGTGAAAGGAGCGCTCGTTAATTTGGTTGATTGTCAATTAAGAAAACCAGTACTTTTTTATACAAGTTTCCTCTTGTTTTGTTGATTGGGCACTGTTTGCTACGTATCTTGCCTTTTACGTAATACAATTGGAATTGTAATATCTCTTATTGTATATGTTTGCTTGTACACAATTCATTATTGGTTAAATGAGAAAATACAATAAAATTGCTGCCAAAAATATGTAAAACATTGTCTGAAATCTCATGATCCACTGATTAGTTTATCTGAGGTTCCAAATACAATCAGTCAAAAATGTAAATCGTCTGTTCATTGAAATACCACAAATTCCAACTTGGTTACTCATATTTTTACGAGGTTTCATTCGACTACTTTTCTGTCCTAAAATCTACGACCGGGGATGTACTTAGTACTTATATCACGTTTTGCAATCGCAGTTGGCAAGGGGTCAGAGGGCGTAGTCGTCACGCAACGTTATGCGCGTCGCCAACGTCGACAATCTATAAATCTCCATAAATTGTTTTTCGCTCGTCACGTTATAAATAACGCGGGGCTTCATGAATTTGAGCCGCGTATTCGCGTCGCGAATGATAGGATTAATGGCGACATTAGGAGCTTTATCGACGATTCGTTCACCGATAACCGTACGTCCAGCGACACGTGTACCAGACACCTCGTTTATTCATTGCTTCGTGATTTTTATTGCGCCGCTGGAAATATTTTATTATCCATTGTTTGCCGCCGTACACTACCGTACCGCGAGAATGTAAAAGTACAGTTTGTAAGACATAAACTATTTTTCAGAGAACTTTGAAATTGATGCATGAGAAATGCGTGACAAATAAATTTTACGGGGAACAGCGCAAATTAATAAATCCGTCACCTGAACTTTGTCAGCAATCTTAATTAAACGCTTAAATTTGTCACAGTTTCTTGTTTCCTAAATCCGCGAAATACGTTTCCAGAACAATTGAATCATTCCCTTTCTAAAAATGTCACCGTCCTTCCAACGGTTTTCCGCTTTCATCCTACAAAAACACACCGCCGTTGCGTCATGTTCCGGTGCACCGACCAGCCTGTTGGCTGTCTCGTTCTGGATGAAAAACACCGCGGTGTTGTGGCGCACTTCATTACGGCCTCGAGAAAGTGTGAAAAGAGTTCGGTTTGCGGTCCCAACGGATGAAAGCGGAAACGATCGGTCCACGGATATTTAAGTGTTTCCCATAGTAAACCGATCAGTAGTCGGATGATCGAGCTTGATCGATATGCTGCGTTTTGCGTTCCCGATCGCTCTTTTACTATTGCTCCAGCAGACATGTTTCGCTCGAGAACTGAGCGCCATTCGCAATCGTCGCGACGCGCAAACTTCAGAAGCCGCGATTCCAGTTACTTCGATTCCTGATTCAAAAGTTGAAGAATCACGCGACCTGGTAGCTGCTGCCTCGGGTCACAAAGGTCATCGGCACGAGTCCGGTGGAGGACAGAGTCATCATTCAGACCATCACGAGGAGCACGGCGACGAGGGTGACAAGGGGTACAAGAGTCACCATCATCACGACAAGAGCGACAAAGGTGAACACGACAAGAAACATCATTCTGGTCATCACGAGGAACACGGCGGCCACAAGAAGGGACATCATGACGAGCACGAAAAGTACGGGGAGCATGAAGAGGGCGAGAAGGGACACAAGGGTGGCAAGTTCGGTGAAAAGAAGGGTCACAAAAAGGGACACAAGACCAAAGGGTATCACAACAAATTCCATAAGGACGAATATCACAAGGAGCACAAGTTCTACGATGACTACCACAAAGGTGGACACCATAAGAAGCACGGCGACTTCCACGGGCACCATGAGAAGAAAGAAGGAGAGCACAAAAAAGGTGGCCACAAGCATTCCGGATACCACGAAGATCATCATGGGAAGAAAGGCCACCACGACAAGGGTCACCTAGACGAGGAGCATAAAGGACACCACGGGAAGCACGGGCACGATGAGCATTACAGTCATCATGATTCTTATGGAAAGAAGGGTGACCAACATCATGGAAAAAAGTTTGGGTATAAGAAGGGCCACAAGGGCTGACCCAGTTTTTTCTTTCGTTTCCAACTGTTTTGTTATAAATCCGTTTAGCTCTATTTTGTATATAACAATTTTTGTACAGGGTAACTCAATAAGTATAGTCATATACAATAATTGATTATTCCATGATTCTACGAATTTTTCATTCGCTGACTGAAAAATCATTGAATGAATGCGCTCTTGTAACAAATAATAAACTACGTTTTCAATGCTTTTTAATAGGATCAATAAATAATGTTAGCTGACAATTTTTATTGACTACACGTTAATACTGGTTTCTTGTTTCTTCTTACTTCCTGCTTTATATAATGTCCCACGAATTGCAATTTTAAGGCTTCACAACATCAAAGATTTCACAGCCGCCAATCTGAAGTTTTTGTAAAATAACGGTGAATTAATCGTAGGGGGCAATGTATTTAGATCCTCTGTCGGTATATTATATAAATACATTATGCAAATATACGCTTGGAAACAGCGCGAGGAAAAACATCGACGTGACATGTGCCAGCGTTTTGCTCTCTTCCCGTTTTTCCTTCTTCCAGCTGCAAATAACTTTTGCTGCTCATGTTTGTCTCATAAAATAGAAATAAACCAATTAGTAGTCATTAATTAAATGTGAAAAGCGACGCGTTTCGTGCCATTTAGTTTTCAATGAAATTTTCATCGCTGAACCAAATGAAACAACTGCAATCGATAATGTAATCAATTACAATAATAATATAATGTCACTGGTTTACATTTTATATTATAGCTTTGCAATCATTATTCTTATATCAAACAATTTCAAATGCGATTTGTATTAGAGCAAAGACTAGAGAGATCATGTTTCTGTTAAACCGCAGTGGCCGATTATGCAGATTGCATTCTGTACACGTAGTATCTCTATGTTACAAAGTGAACAGTACGTTAAGGCGCATACATAAATGATTTTAATCATGACGCCGGGAGATCGCTAATGTGGCAGTGACAGATCAAGTTTAATCGGACGTGTTACCGATTCAATTCATATTCGAATATTAATGCACGACGCAGTGATCGCGACTCAATATGATTGAATTTCTGGATAAGTAACAACATGCTCTGCCCGGCTAACGCGATTGTATTAGTCAATTATTACTGCCTATTCCGACGTTTCTCTTACTTGTTTATCACTATGAGTTCACACCAGAGAATGTGTGTATTGAGAAATATCGATTTGCTCTGTTCGTGTAATAATTCTCGTATTTTTCGTACAGCACATATTATGTTATAGAGAGACTGATTGTCAGTCTGTTTATATTAGGTCTACCGGAAAGTTCTGTCCGTTTCTTTCACAACAAATTTCGACACGTAAGCACATGTTTATTAAGCGCATGTGTGCCTCTCTATTTTTAACACTTAATGTATACATACTGACGTAGCAAATTAACTAAAACAAAGTTGATTCACGTTAGTCTTATGTGTGAAGCCATAGTGTACCCATGGCTACTGATAAGGTTCATTTACGCCACTGTATTTTATACGAATTTCAACAAGGAAGAAATGCTACAGAAACATGTAAAATTTTATTGAAAGTGTTTGGTGAAGGTACAGTTTCTGATAGGACATGCAGAAGATGGTTGAAAAAATTTTTTGAAGGGAAAAAAATTGAAAAATGAAGAAGATATGAAACAAGCACTAGTTGAATTTTTCGCATGAAAAGATAAAACATTTTTGAAAAATGGGATATACAAATTGCCCTCGCGCTGGCAAGAAATCATTAATAATAATGGCAATTATATTATTTAATAAAGTTTATTGATGGTAAGAAAAATTTGTATTTTGGTTTATTCCAAAAACGGACAGAACTTTCCGGTAGACCTAATATTAATAGGAAAGTATTTTTTTTCATAATAAATCGTAATGTTTAACATTGTTCGTGTTTGTATATGAAATGGATAACAGTATCACTGTTTGCAGACGCGTTTCCATTGCGTTCTTTCTATTTACCAGTTTGCCCCGCATAATCCCGTACCTTCGGCAAAGTTTGTTTATACGACGGAACACGATGGTGTAATACAACGCAAAACACGTATTCGCGTTTGCCGTTGGAACATCTACGGGAACATAACAAGAACGAAAAACAACGTGTTCCGTGCGAAATTGAAACGAGTAATCGGTAGAAAAAAAAAACACGCGCCCAGTTCCTGTCCTCGGGATTTTAATCAAACAGGAACGATCGGGACCCGCCCGGTAATCCGAACAATTTCGCTATTTATGCGAACGCGTCACATGCGCGATACGTCCAGGGAAATTGTTTCGGCGTAATGCAATAAAGCGTTTTTCTCATTGCGACGCGCCCGGAAAACATTCCAGTTCGCCGCGAATTTAAACGAGCTAAATCAACCCGGATGGACGAAAGTAATACAACATGATGTCGTCTAAGCAGATTTTCCATAGTAAATTGCTTGGTCAAAATTACAATAAGAATGTGTAATGAATGTCTTCTGTTCTTGGATCAGTATAGTGAATGTCTTAACCCTTACAGTTCGTGAAATGCTTAAAGTCATCGCGATATGTACTCTTCATAAAGACGTGCGATGTCTTAAGCCTTAAGGGCTAGGCAGTGCGCTCATATTTTTTCCCTCGGCCGAAAAGTGGGGACGACGCGACCATGGTGGGGACCAATAGTTGGTGGGGGTATGCAGTGATTTTCACGGTAGCGCTGCGGAGAGCTTCGTGAACGCGCATGAGCACGCATGAGGGGAATAATAGTGGGGATCGAAATACGGGCGAAAAAGAGGGGAAGCGAGCCTCCAGGGAAAAAATATGAGCGTGCTGGGGCTAGGGTAGCCACATGACTTTTCTGACATCTGTTGTTAAAATTTTGACGTTTTTTGCTCTGTTTTATCGATAAACAAGCAAAAATAGTACAGAATATGAATTTATGGGAATACATTTTTCGTCCTTGATATGAGAATATTTTTCGATCATCAGGTATTTCTTCAAAAAGAGAAAAGTCAAATTTGGCGCAGTTTGGTCGTTATTTCAAACAAAACAATCTGTTTTGGATATAAAATCGCTTATGAACAGAGGCATTGTAACTACGACCTTTCATTCATATTACAACGCTAATTACATTGACTGACAACTGATTACATAATGACCAGATCGCTCCAGATGTGACTTTCCTCTTTCCGAAGAGGTAAACCGAACTGACAACCGAAAAATATTTGCATATAAGGACGAAAAGTGTATTCCTCGTAAACTTATACTTTTGGCTAATTTTATATAGCATAGATATCGCAAAACCACCCCCTTAAACCTTAGGTCATCATACATCATGTATATGTAACCCATTTGAGGAGCTTTATTGTTGAAAGCTGCTGGCAACATCAAAGTTAAGCATATCTACTCACGTGTGAGCGTAATTTATTATCACCATATTATAACCACCGAAAGCATCTACACTGGGTATTTAAATCCGTATTTAAAAGTTTAAACAATTTACACATAAAGATTATAATTAAAATTCAAATAAAACAAGCACACCTTGATACCACCATTAATTAGCCACGCTGTTTTAGAAGCAGTCTTCTTTTGTTTATCTTGCACAGCACGCATTATCCACTTTGTTCAGTCTTTTGAAATAGTATACAAATAGCAAGGATACGCGCGAGGAGGTTACGTGAAGCTTAGTCAAAGCACTTAATCCCTCCGGCTTATATCGTCAAAAGCTTTCTTCCGCGGTCTTATCCTGCAATTTCTACTCCGGGAGTAGAGAGAAGACCATAACTAAATGTAGCCCGATTATTATTTCACCGACTCAACATGCTAAACACTTTATCAAAGGATCCACAGTTGGTACGGTTGTTAAGTATTCTGCTATACGCGTTCATTAATCTTTGAATTATTTCTCACTGTTAGGTAATTAAATTCCTTACTTTTTGCGAAATACCTATTTTCGATGCACAGCACACATTGCAGCTTTTAATAGTTAATGAAGCTGAGTTTTAACTACTTTTACTCGTTTACAAGGTTATTCGGAAATAAGTTAAAGAATTTCGTACTCAGTTGGAATTTGTATGTTCCCTTTAATTTAAACGTTTCGTATTGTCCTCAGCTCGCATGCCAAGTAACCCCTCAGTTGTCCCGTACTCGACGTACCACGGTGTAAATTGTATTAGCAGGTTCGTTCGCGACTCAATTGCATTAAAACAAAACCAGTTATCCGGTAAGGCAACGCTTGCACGTTCCTTCTCGAAGTCCCTCTGCGAATTAAATCGACGGCGACTTCATCCGAAGAATTAATAAGTCAGACTGTTGAAGGCTTCGGTTAGATTACTAATTCAACGTGTCTGTCGTCTGCACTGACAACGTCGATGGATCGACTATCCCTAAGGAGTACGCCATATACTTTACGTTAATAATTAATTTATCTCTGAAACTACTTCTAAATATCTTTTAAACCAAAATTCATTCACAAAAATTATTTCAAATATAGTAATTTTCATAGATCGTTTCACTTGGAAGATTAGACTAAACACAATTATAATTAACATTTAGGAAACAAAAACTTTCCGTAGCATTGTTCGAATTCATGAAACCAGCACATGGACCATTGTCAGTTTCTATCAGCGACCGGAATTACGACCTGTCGCTTTGTTACTTTTTTTGCGAACAGGAAGCTAGAGAAAGTGTGCTTCTTGGAGTAAATTCGATCGCGTTCTATTAAAGGCATTCTTTTTCACTCAACAAAACTAGCGGGTACGTGCAATTGATCAACGGTACATCGGTAATTTATCTTTTCCCCTCGACGAAGACGTTACTATTGCGAAATTGGTACATTTAATTTCAGTCGTTCGACCGTCGCTCGTATTTTCTTATCGAGTTTCCGGTAGCGCATTCGTGGACGGCTCGACTAAAAGAGGTTAAATTGAATCGATTTTCGAGAGCGGGCTAAATAAACTCGCGCGAATTTCGTTGGAAGGTAACAATGATAAAATTCTGTCTAATAGGAATTACAGCTATTTTAATGCAGTTTCAAGTTAATTGACAGTAACTGCCGGCGTGAGTTAAATTCGCACATGAATTTAGTTCTAATAAAATCGTAAACAAGATACAAGCGGTAAATGTAAAAATGAATTTCATTTTATTTTCACGGGTTATCCGTGTAGGCGCACGACTGTCGGCAATGCATTCATATTAAATTGGGAACGCGTCGGTACAACTTTCTCGCTCAATTTATAAAACGTTAGTTAACGCGGAAACATTTCCCTCCGAACCGGAGGAGGATTATCCCCCACGGAGTTTCGCTTGATTTCCATCGTTCAGTTAGTTTTCAGTTATTACCGCGTTGCTTTATGCGCCGCGAAAGTTTTTCCTCAACGTTTTCATTCGAAATTAAATTATTTTTTAGGAACACGAGGTCCGAATCAACGATTTATTTATACAAGTAAACGTTTATCGCACAAAAACATTAAGAATGCTTAAAATTATTAAATGGAAAATTTAATTATTTCGTCTGAAGAAGAATTTATTAAAAATACTTACGATGTATTTTATGTTTAATTATATGATTTTGACTAATTGTAGAATAATTGTATGAGGAACATAAAAAAAGCGTGAATCCTTGGTAAAAGAAAAAACCAAGGTTTAAATTTCAGTTGCTATATAGAGTCTGCACCACTTTGCTATTAAATTCTCGAGAACTCCATCATCCGTCAAATTACCGCGAAGATATTTTACAATTTTGGAGCCGTTAATTGAGCTAACAGCCGTCAAAAACGAGCAGTTGAAGAAGAACGAAAAACGAATTAAATTAAACAGGAGAGAGAGAGATTTGGGTGTTCGTGTAGCTAATATGTAACCGCAAGGGAAACCGATAAATCGCATGCATGCCGCGCGTACGCTGGGATATCACTGAAACAAGCAAACCAAGGCGCAATGAAAAATTGCGACCTGCACCCGCGAGGCCGGACCGCGAAATTGCTCCGAGTACGAGTGGCTCGTTCGCGCGACGAGACGCGGATAATTTTTCCCGTTGTTCGTGTCATGCCGACGACAGCCACTCCACAAAGCGCGGCACGGCGCGACGCGACAAGAACGACGATGCTCGATAGTGCTCATTAATTTGAACCGAGCGACAGGATTATCGCGCGATCGATCAAAGAATACCCGAGCTCCTCGCCACTTTAGACTTGCTTCACACTTGCCGACCGTCAGAATACAACATTTTATTACAGAATTCGTACTTAAAGTGGATCTTACTCAGTATATTAATCAAATTCAATTAATAAGAAGTTCAAACACAATGTATAAAACAAATTTTATAAGTATATTGCAATTGTTAGATTACTAAATTCAAATTCAATAAAATACTTTGATTTAAATCATGTAATCAACTCTTTAAATTACTCGCCATGCTGTATTTTTAACCGGTATCATAAACTTGCATTATACATATACATATAAACGCCAACACATTATTATACATATATGGTGTCCGAATAAAAGTTGATTTGAAATGGAAATTAAAAGTAACTGTACTTTCGTGCATTAGTGCAGTTGTTGATAAATAGTTAAGTACTAAGTAACGATGTTGGATGCATGTGACAGAAACACATCTGTACAATTACTGCCAACAAACAAATGAGAAACATGAAAAATTGAAGTATACGTGAGAATCTTAATCAAACCTTATACTAGAATATCTCTCGTCGATCATATATCCTTTTTATTTCTAAAATTACTTTTTTGAAGATGTCTAGATTAGGCGTTTATTAACATCCTGTACATTGCTACATAGCGTACAGGCGCATGCTTGCGGGAGTGGCACACGGTCGTTTCCTCCTTTCTTCCGCGAGTCGCGCGACCACTCCAATTAGATTAATTAAGCCAGCCACACGTATATATACGCGCATCACGGAGTGAAACAATGGCGCGCAGCAGAGGGTTGGTTGGGTCGCAGCGGCGGAATTGTCACACGCCAGAGAGTTTCAAGTAGATCCGCTCGCTTGTATGCAATCTCCGGCCGAGAATGGGCAAGCGTGATCGTGGTTCTCTTGCCCGACCGGTCTGCAACATTCCCACCACCGTTCCCTAAAAAGAAGCGTATAAAGCTTCGTTAATCCGTGTCCGGTGCACCGGAATCCAGTCTAGATAGACCCACAAATGGCCGCGGTAATTTCGTTTGCAGGAGGGTGGAATCGTTAATCAAATCCGAGGCCATGCAGAGGAACTTGCAGCGACTGTTCTCGAGCCTCTCGTTGCTAGTTTACGTTCTCTACCGTTCGTCGTTGACGTCCGCGTATGCGTTAACGCGCGTGCACTCCTATTCACGACTAATAGAACAATTTGTAGAAGGAACGGTCTAATGCCAGATAATAAAGCTCATTATTGGAGTTAAGTTGTGTTAGATACCAAACTCATATTGTAGATTAGAATGTCATACTTGTCAATCTCAGAACTTTATCAGATTTTTTGGAAAAAGAGTTATCATTATCAATATTTTATTCAAAATTCGAAGATGTCGCGCTGCTGTTTATGGACGAGAGTGCATGGTACGCGTGTCGCGAGATAAAGAGATGCTGCGCAGAAAATGAAGAAAGAGAGAATATGTATGTATACAAATGTATGAAATTACGAATTTCAAAGGAGTCCAGAGACGAACCATGCTTATGTATGTATGTACGTATATCCGGCGTTCTCTCGTCATGCGAAACGTAAAAATTTATTAGGACGCGTTGAAATTTTAAGCAGTGCCAGTGAACACATGTACACGTCGTTATTCCTCTTCCGCCGTGTTTTACTGCAAGCTGTTGGACATGCTTTTAGTCGTTTTGAAAGTACCTCTTATTAGTTTAATGTTGTTTAGTGCTATGGGAAATTTGCGCGGAAGTTATTATTAATCGAAGGAGTTCAATATTTCAGATCATTGATGAACATGCTTTCTGCGTTATGAGTCACTTTATATCATTTATTTCGTTTTATTGTGATCAAAACATTTAGACAATAAAGAAGATAGTAAATGTATAAACTTGTATAAGTACTGAATTGAGAAAGTGATTGTTATGTTGGAACAAGAGATAACAAGTTAACGACTCTTCTTATGCCACTTTCTGCCACCTTCTTTCGAATCCTTTTCACCATGACGATGTTCGTGATGATGATGACCATCATAGTCCCCTTTATCATCGTGCCCTTTGTGATCCTCACCGTGTCCTCCTTTCTCATAATGACCTTTCTTTCCATAATGATCATCGTGTTCACCATAATCGTGATGATCTCCCTTGTAAGAGCCACCTTTACCTCCCTTATGGTCATGATGATCGCCACCGCCGTGTTCATCGAAGTCCGAATCATAGTCGTCGTCATGAAACTCCTTGTGCTCTTCGTATTCGTCTAATTTCTTCACTTCGTGATGACCGTGGGTGTCGTGTCCTTTCTTAAAGTGTCCCTTCTCGTGGCCCTTGTCGCCCTTCTTGCCTCCTTCGCCTTTGTGATGTTCTTCTTCGTAACCTCCGCCATCGTGATGATGCTTCTCCTCACCGCCCTCCTCACCACCGTGTCCATGATCCTTGTGCGACTTATGATGACCCCCGCCGTATTTCATTTCCTCGTGTTGATGCTTCTCGCCTTTGTCGGTGTGTCCGCCGCCTTTTCCCTCGTGAGCAGCGTGGCGCTCGCTTCCGCCGCCCTCTTCGTGTTTGTGAGATTTCGAGCTGGCCGCTGTTGCCAGATCCTCGTGATTAATGCTCGACGCGGACACCGAAACACACACCAGCAGTATCAATACCGGCAGAGCTCCACGTACGGCAAACATATCGGTTTCCTTTAATTTTTCGTTGGCCGAAGTCCTATTTTTGTCGAAGGCGCAAATGTGTATGTACGGTTGATTAGAAGAGTGCACTATGATGATTCACTACTTCGTGTTTGTATTTTCATTCGCTCCGCTTGTGATTCTGTTTTCTTAAAATTTCAACGTCTACGTGTTAGTGCAACGTGTCGTGTATATTTCTAGATTATGCACTGCATTTTTTTGAACGAACAATATCAAATAAATAATGATCAATAAAGATAATTCTCCTTTAAGAAATTAGGAAACGAAACTTTATTTCAATCCTCTATTTACCTGTCAGATTTTATAAAGCTTGTTCAGAAGCGAGGAATTGGCTCGCGGATATTCGTTCGTTTCAAGTAGATGAAACCAGCGAGGTTACGGCAGCCTGGCTGGCTGCTACGGCCAATATGACAAGGATGCCCGAAAATCTAAGTTTTATATATCTTTGGGCGCCTCTATGCACCGACGGTTGCCGATAGGAAAAACGTGCAAAACGTTTTGAGGAACGTCCGTGAAGGGGAAAGGAGAGAATGCTGTTTGATTTCTGGCCCGGGTCGCGACGGAGAATACATTTGCTACGTGTTACGGATGTTAACGGGGATCCGCGTGCCGTGTAAATTTGAATGTTTCGCAGCTTCGTTCCTGCCTTGTCTCTGTCCCTAGGGAAAAATTATACGGTCCCCACTGCGAAATGCTGATTATCGCTTCGCAATTTACTCATCGATTGCTTCTGGTTTATTATTTCTACACTCCCGATTTATATACAAAACAAAACTTTTATGATGCAAATTTAGGAAATGAAATCTGAAACATTTGTTTTACCGTTCACAAAATAATGCGTACCTTTGCGTATATGTAATTCACACTCTCACATATTACATAAATTTGTTATATTCCTCCCATGTTAGACTTTTATATAAATGCATAAAATCGATAGTCTAATTATGTACATTTAAAGGAGCAGCAGATAGAGAGAGAGAGTGTGTATTGAAAGTAAGAAGATTCCTTAATAGTAATTTTTGTAAAAAATTGGTTAAACTGCGAAATGATCTGTTAAATAAGAAATAAGAAAACATATTTACAACTCCGTTTAAAAGTCACTTCAAAATCATTAAGAATATTTCATAATTCATAAGAACGAGATATCTTGTACAAAAACACAGAGCATTTAATTTGCACAGAACAAAAACAAAAATCCAATTTTGTAATCGGGAAATATTTCACAAGTTAATCAATACTAAATGAATTTAGGCTATATTACGTCTGTGTTAAGTATAAAGAAGTAAAAGGTAATTTAAAATTATCTACTGATCATTGATTTTATTACATAGCTTGACCAAAAGCACATATTTATTTATGGAAGTACAAAGATAAATTCATTTATTGAAGTGAATAATTTAATGAATGCGTAAACAATATAAATAACGTATATAATACATTTTAGTGACTCACCCTATACATATGTATAGCTTAAGGAACTCGTATTGATCAATTTACGTTTCATAATGGAATTCAGTAGATACAATCATACTATCATCTATTTATTAATAATACTGAAAGTTATATATTGCATACTCTGCTCTGAAGCTTAGTGACAGTTCGATTGTGATTGTCTTACAAACTATATATATATATATATAATGATTGTCACTGTTGTAACAAAAGCCCAAAGTCTCCTGTATCATTCAAAAGCTACCCAAGATAACAAAAGGGTATTGGTGTTAAATATTTTTTTGTAAAGACTTAGTTATAAGAAGGAAAAAGTACCGCTTCAAGTTATGACGAAGAGCATTTTTGAAAAATAAAGGTTTTTATTAATTACTTTATATTATTTATTATAATTAATGACGAATGAAAGTGCAACAATTAATTGCGTATCTTTTCAATTAAATGCTTATGTTTAACAAAATGCGTGTTTTAGGTCATTTAAGTTGGTGAAGTTCCATCCTCATTTCAATTTTATTATGATCAAAATACTTCATGAAATGCATGCTTAGAATTAATAATATTTCATGCGGGGTCAAGGAGGTAGATTAAAATAAATGAAAGTCAAATATAATTTTTAAAGGACAATTTTATAATATTGTTGGGAAAAACCATGATATACATATTTCAATATTTAAAATTAAACAACTGGATGAAAAACAAGTAAGATAACAAAAATAGAAAAATTTCATTATATTCGATGCTTCCTTCAATGGTGTCCATGTCCACCACCGCCGCCGCCGCCGCCGCCACCTCCACTGGAGTATCCATGCTTCTTCCCTCCATGATGCTCGCCCTTTTTGCCATAATCTTCGTGATGCGAATGATGCTCGTCGTGTCCATGCTTGCCGTGGTGGCCCTTGTGGTCCTCGTCGTAGTGTCCCTTATCGAAGTGACCCTTCTTTCCATGGTGATCTTCGTGGTGTCCGGAATGATGATGGCCGCCCTTTTTGTGATGACCGTCCTTGCTCTCATGATGTCCATGATGGTGTCCATGCTTCTCATGATGTCCACCCTTATGATAATCATCATAGAATTTGTGCTCCTTATGGTACTCGTCCTTATGGGCTTTATGATGATAACCGTGGGTCTTCTCGCCCTTCTTGTGACCCTTCTTATGCCCAAATTTGGAGCCCTTGTGCTCGTCCTCGTGTTCGTGATGATGTCCGTGTTCTTCGTGCTCGTCATGGTGACCTTTCTTATGACCACCATGTTCCTCATGATGTCCTTCGTCGTGATCTTTACCATAATGGCCGTGATCACCTTTGTCGTGGTGGTGATGATGCTTATACCCCTTGTCACCCTTTTCTCCGTGCTCCTCGTGATGATGACCGTGATGATCATGGCCACCGCCGTCTTCATGGTGGTGACCATGATGGCTGGCTGCCGCCTCGAGGTCCCTTCTGTTTCTCAACTCCCTAGCCGTAGATTGAGAGATCAATGTGCATACTGCGGCCAGGCCGAGGCAGACCCACAAAATCTTCGCCATGTTGGTACTCGGTGGACCGACCAGTGCTATTGACTGATCACGACGCTTTAACGCAAAGCTTATATACCAGCCGTCATGCTGCTGTTCCATACGTAACCGCTAAGCACAGTTGGTACCACTTGGTTCCATATTTCGCAAAACTCGCTGGTCCATTTCGCATGTTCCGTTCCTTCGGACAGGATAGAAACCAAGAATCCGATCTTTGACTTAATCATCGATCCCGATTAAGACACATTCTGCCTGGACGACTAACCGCGGCTTTTTCCCAGCCGCGGGATAATTAACTGTGAAGTAAATTAACTTTGCAGGAATCTTGGAAAGTATGGTGACAAATCAAGCATTGCTAACGCGGCAATCGATAAAAAGCCAATCAATTTGTCAGCTGGCCGTAGAACAGTTTGTTACAAAACAGTTGGCAAAGCGAAGATATTATTTTCATCGTTCACCGGGCTGTTCTTTCTGCAACGATAGTTTCCCGCTTTCGTTCTCGAATCAACCTTAACGACTCCCGTTTTTGTCAAATTTAATCCAAAGATCCTGATAACGATCGTATTTAAAAATACATTACAAATTTATTATGTTTTGACATTATCGTAAGAATTGTTATTATATTTGTCGTGACATGAAAACAATTGTGAAACACACGTTTTGCACTTAACAATTTATGTATCATACTTGGAAAATATTAAAAAACTATTGTTACTGTATAAATTCAAGTAATACTTATTCTTAATCTAAAAAACGCCATATAAATACTTAAGTTAATTTATGTGAGAACAATAGTTGCACTATTATTATAATTTCGATATAGAGGCAACAATGGCAAGAGCATTGTTATATAAAAAAATTCAAATCACCTAAAAACAGTGGAACAATGACCTCCTATTACATAACCAACGCCCAAAACCGCAGATGTTAAAAAACAGGAGGAAAGTGTCGTTCATATTGAGACCGATGTTTCACAGACCAGGTTTGAGTAAGAGACTCCGATCAAGTTGCATAAGCTGTTTCGATCGACGGTGCCGGTTGTAATCGGCGAATTGCTAGTTAAACGGGTTAAGGAGACGTTACTTTCGCAACGGCGCGGCGCGGCGGCGTTGAGGAAGCGGCGCAGTGGTTCCGTTGCCGGTTCCTTAATATCGACTATTCCCCGTTCGATATATAATCCGAGCCTGGTGACCGGTTTAATCATACCGAACACGGCGTCGGAGTCGAACACTTCGACACTGGATCAGGACTCGAAACCGATCTTACCTCGCCGCCATGAAGTCTCGGCTCGCAGTTTGCCTGCTGCTCGTGTGCATCGTCTATCAATACAGCTCGATCGTAGCTCGAGAGATCGGGAAACCGGACGACGACTTAGCCGTTGCGGCGTCTCATCATCATCATCATCACGAGGAGGGCGGAGGCGGTGAGCACTTTTCGGATCACCACAGCCACCACGGAGACAAGGGTGATAAAGGTTACAAGTCGTCCCATCATCATGAGAAAGGCGAAAAGGGACATCACGACAAGGATGACCACAGTGGACACTACGGTGAAGATGAGGGACACAAGAAGAGCCACCACCATGACGATGGCTACTACGCGGAACACCATAAGGGTGAGAAAGGCGAAAAGGGACACAAGTTCCACGAAGAGGGAAAATACAGCAAAGGCCACAACACGAAGGGACATCATGAGGTTCACAAGCTAGACGAGTTCAAGAAGGACAAGGAGTTCTTCGACGAGCATCACGACTCTGGTCATCATGAAGATCATGGTGGTCATCATCACGAGCATGGACACAAGAAAGGTGGTCATTTCAAGAAAGGACACCATGATCATGGAGAGCATGAAGATCACTATGGGAAGAAGGGACACCACGAAAAGGGACATCATCATCACGATCATAAGGGACATAAGAGCGATGGTGGACACGATGAACATCATCATCATCACTCTCACCATGGCAAGAAGGGCGGACACGATGATCACAAATCGTGGGGATTTAAAAAGGGACATTAAACATTGATTATTCCTAATTGTTATGTTTGTTTAGCATACTGTTTATTGATCTTTGTATCTCATTGAAATAAACTAATACTTTTTCAAACAATTCAGTTCGACTGAAATTAAAGAACCTTTATTCCGTTGTAATGTTATTTAGATGAAATAAAAATTGTAAAATTAATTAATTCTTCTACAAATGAGGAAGATAAAAAATATTTTTAGGAAAGTTCGCTACTCATCAGTTCTTTCAAAATTTACTGATTACATACAGATTTGATTTACGTCAATTCTGAAGTCTCCAGCTGCAGTATAAAATAACTCTGCAATTGTTCAATGGTTTCACGTTTTTATACTGGACATGCTACGGTGCACCGAATGCCCAAAAAAAATTAGAATAGGTCAATAACACTTTCTCCAGTGTTACCTCATTCGATTAAGAACCGGCGTTGTCGTAAGATATATTTAACGAAATTATCTAATAAGATCATGTAAATGTAGTAGTTATCAAAATATCTTTATTTTATAATACAATTGATATTCGTGTAACCATTCTATTGATGTTTATGGAAAAGTCGCGAGGAAAAGTAATAGAGAAATGAACACTCATTATATTACAAAATCCGTTATTTTCAATCAATTTCTTATACTATAGAAGACAATAATTAACGATCCTTTTCACTATATTTATGTGTCTTATCAGTTTCAGAACCTCCTTCTTCGGCGTAATTCTCGTAGTTGTCGTAATACGATTTCTCGCCTTGTTCAGCCCGATGACCTTGATCCCGGTTATCATGATTCCCCCTGTCGTAATGTCCTTTCTTTCCGCGATCCTGATAATCGTGCTCGGAAGAATGATGTCCACCCTTTTTGGAACCGCTCTCCTCGGTGCCGTAACCTTTGTCGAATTCGTCGTACTCCTCGAAATGACCCTTCTTATGATCATCGTCGTAGATATCCGTCTCCTTCTTGTACTCGTCCTTGTGATAGACATTGTGGAAACCATTAGTTTTGTGCCCCTTCTTGTGATACGACGAGTGCCCGTAACTGCTGCCCCCGTTGCCATCCTCCCACTCCTCGTACGAGCCGTGCTTTTCAGCCTCGTCGTCGTGTCCTTTCTTCTGTCCACCACTGTTTTTGTAGTAGCCTGGGCGTTCGAGAACAAACGTGTGAATAAAACTACCGTGTACACTCCATTCCTAGCTCCGTTCAAATATGGTTGAATCACGTGTATTACGCAACTCTTTTTTCGTCTCGGTAGAAAGTTTGTACATTGTGGTAAGAAACTAACATACAATATCTTATTTGCGATAATCTCTTTCAAAATTAGCATCGAAATGCCTTTCCTAACATTAAATAAAAAAATACAATTAAAAATTTATTTTCTGCACCTAATTTCTATAGAAGTTGTCGAATGAAATAATTTAATGTTTATTAATCATATTAAAAATCATTATAGTCATGAATTATAATTTCTTACAATAGTCATTCAACAGAGTAGAGTAAATATTACAAAATTCGAATAACAAATTTGTCAAAAGAATCTAAGAACAATCAATTATTTAACACGATTATAATTATTAATGGTCTTGTTCATTTAATTATGTACTTACCTCCGTCATGGCCGCTATCATCACTACCATGATCACTATTGCTAAATCCCTCCTTCGTATCATATCCCTTATCACCCTTCTCTCCATGCTCTGAGTACCCCTTACTTTCATAGTCTTCCCCGGCTCCATTTTCAAACGATGAGCCACCGTCGTCCCAAGAGTCACCAATTCCCCCGTGTCCATAACTATCATCATACCCAGAGTCCTTCACCGAACCATCGAATTCGCCATGAATATTTTCATCATGACTATCTTCACCTTCCACGTCACCGTGAGCTTCATACGTCCCATACTTCCCTTTATGTTCGTCCGCCATCTTTTCGCCCACGTAGTACGGCGCTCTTGGTTCAGAATCGACCAGCTGCTGTTTCACCTCGTTATCGTAATCGGCGGCTCCTTGGTGAGCTGAGGGTAGTGCGTCGTACGCGTAGGGCAGGAGGAGTGAGGCTCCAGGAACGGAGTGCGCAACAGGTGCAGCAGCCTCGAAAACGTACTGCACCGCGTCCGGATGGTAGTATCGTCCACTTCCGTGATTGGTGTAGTGCACGTAGTAAACCGGAAGCCCCTGTTGCTGATTGTATACGTATCCGGTTGCGGAGCTGTCCATGTCCAAGTCCATGGCAGTCGTCTTGCTCACTGTCATACGATGCTCCACGGTCGGAGCCGCGTCGCTCTTCGGGAACACAAGAAACACGCACATCAGAAACAGTTGTTGTAACATGTTATATACTCGGTAAACACGTATATGCCAGATAAAATCAGAACGAAACGGGATAGGAGTACAGGTGGATGTAAGAATCGCGTAACCGATCACCGGTGTGGCCAGTGAACTGGAATGTTAGTTAGTGTGTCCGTGAATCGGCGGGTTCGCTTTATATATATACACACGAGAGCGTGATTCGTCGATTGAATAAGGGATTGTAGAGTGGAACCGTATTCCACAGCGGCCGGGCCCGATAATTCAAGTGCGTCGCGTTATTGGTACAACTGGTTCGGCTGAACTCGTCCAAGGGAATTCCGGAGAATCGCGGCAATTTGCGTAATGCGTCAACGAACCGATGGCTGCGGCATCAGGATCCTTTGGGATACCTATGGTCACGGTTACTGCCAGTTCCGCTATTTGAAAATCGCTTTTCAACCCCCAATACACTTTATATCTTGAAATCTGATCTTACTTCAATCATGAACTTTATATATACTGTTTATTACATTTACTGTGTTTAATCACAAACATATAAATTCAGTTGTTTGTATCAGCTCGTAATTTTATTTTAAGATGAATTCATTCGACAGGAAAGGAAGGCCAATGATTCGATCGACCTTTATTTTTCGTTAAACATGAAGAAGTGTATTTGGAATTTTAAAAACGAGTCTCAAGCCGAGACTTTTAGTGCATAAAATACGATAGATCTAATTGGAACTAACGGGTTGCTAAATTTTAGAAAGGCTGACGTTATGTAACGTCGTCATTCCCTAAATGCAATTTGTTCGACCAAAATTTATTGATGTACAAATACATTGATTGAATAATTTAAACGTATACGAATATATTCATCAAATGTATATTAATTTAAAAATGTAAATTCGTACATTAATTATTGATTTATCATTGCACGAAATTATCCGCGTAAGGAAATTACAAAAGCATTACAGCTTATTCGCAAAAAATTGCAATTCTTTCGCAGAGGACACATCTAATATTCTCCCAAGGTTGACTCAGTTTCACTCGAATGCGTGGAATGCAAGACTGACCACAAACCTTGGAAGTTCCACAACAAAAGAAAACGTTTACTTCGCGTGAAGATTTCGCCACGAAAACGTCGAAACTTCGAGAGGGCCGGACCTACCAGATATGCTCATTCCGCGGTAGTCTTGGGCGAGAGGCGATTCGCTTCAAATCGCTCGAGCGGGTCGCGTGACATATAAAAGAGCCAGGCCGATTGCACTGCGATTAGAGTAGAACGTAACACGAGCCAGCGTGCATGAAACAGTGCCTAAATGGTTATATTACCGTTGACTCGGCAGAGAAATCAGATTCAGAAACCGTACCAATACAGACTTCAATAAAATATAACACTAAAGTATAAAATATACTTGACAATTAATAAGCTGATATATATTGCGTCAAAGTGTCATACTAAACCAAACTTAATAATAAATAAAATGAAAGTCCTCAGGGGAGGATGGTACGCAATTTGTATCCTTTGCGCATGTGTACACTTGTCGATCACGCAGGATAATTTATACTTTGGTAACTGGAGGATTCACGAGCCAAAAAAAAGCGAGTATCAAGCTTATAAAGAACCAGAGTATGACGAACCCTCACGCGGTTTTCATAGAAAATTAATCCCCATAAAGGCGCCTCGAATGAACAAGAATTCTGAAACGTTCAAACTACCCTTGGAACCGGAAGCTGAAATGTTGCCGGCTCACTATACAGGCGTGAAACCGCCCGGAGTCGATCATATGGAACTGAGGCTCGCTGAGTCGAGAGTCTACAAGGTCGTTCCTGTGGTTCAGCAATTAAAAATACTTAACCAAGCTGGTGATGCTCAACAAGTTTCCCGAGCGCAAGTATTGGAACAGGGAAAGGATCAAACGTTACATCAAAAGACCCGTTCGTTCGAAAAAGGGCAGAAAGGTAATTATTTGAAAGAGAAGAAGAAGACTAAATACACCGAGGCAGGAGGAAAGAAGAAATCTCACGATGATGGTTCAAATAAGTCAGGACAAAGGGCAGAACAGACTGGAGGTAACAGTGGAGCTAATTACGAGAAGAAAATTAAAGATCAGTCGAGCCACAAGAAGAACGGTTATCGCAACGTGTATCATAAAGACGAATCCAACAAGAGTCATGACTTTTACGATAACGATGATCACGGTGGCCATACGAAGAAACACGGACGGTACAAGGAGAAACACGTTATGATTGAAGGGACGTATAAGAAGGGTGGCGTTCAGAATTCCGGTCACGACGCGGCGCAGCTTCATAAGCACGGTATAACGGGGAACTCCCGAGTCGACGGCGAATCCCGAGGTCACCAGGCGCGACACGGTTACGATGGATTCTTGAAAAACTTCCAGGTATTCGGGAATCAAGCAGCCAGAAACGAGGGTAAAAGATTTGGCTTCGGTCACACGAAAGCGCCTTAGTTTTTATGAAAGTCATATGTGTACAGAAAAGTAGGATTGTAGAACATATTTATTTAAAAACATTGAGACATTTTTATAACCATAAAATATTGTTCTGTAAGATAAAATAATATTCTGTACACGGAGATGCATCAATGTTTGTAATACGATGATATTCTAGTGGAGTAAGATTGTTAGTTCGATACTTCATTAATATCGTGTGTGTGTACTAGTTAAGCGTTCAATGAAAGTGCAGAATGTTTGAATAATTATAAGGATTATTTGAAATCTTTTTCTTGTTTAATTTCTGATATGAACTGTATGGGCACTTTGTAAAAAGTGCCACACTAGTATTTTCCAATAAAAATATGTACAGGACTTATCTCCACATGACTCATATTCTACGTTTCACTGGAGAAATACGTTCAATTCGTAAAAATACGTTTCGACGTCGACGGGCATTTATTGTCCATTTTTCACTGTCACAACAGTGACACCTAACTCAATACCAGAATTACAATTCAATATCAAGGATTGCGTCAATTAAGCCTGGAATGCTACGAATCTATATTTAGATTATTTGAACGATACTAAATTGTATCAAACGTGGATGCCAGAATTTTTATTTATAATATAATTATAGTTTCCGTCCCAAAGATTATTTATTAGATAGATAAGATATTCTGTCCTAACGTTTATTTATATACAAATGGAAAGAGATTGATCATTAAAAAGTGTTCGAAATTCACCTTTGAATGTTCCTTCATTTCAAAATGGAAGATACATCGTCAAAAACTGATACGAGTTCCTTTTTTCATTAAGCGGTGCACATATTGATACAAACAAACAATCAATTTTCTGATAGCCGCTTTCTCATTTCGAGTTATCGATTTCATTTTCAGAGAGAGATCGAAAATCTACTCCCAGTATTTGGCCGTAGTTCATCAGCAACGTATTGTTCCGTTCCTTTTTTTTCTCTGACCGGTTTTATTTATACGATGGCGGCCGACGCGATGATTCGGTGGCCCACACAGTATCGCCTCGTTTCGCGCGCCAGCGAGCCAGGGTGATTAATGGATATTAATAATGCCCGGCATTGTTGCGACGATAAATTGCAATCTTCAGATAGGCATCAAATCAGATCAAAATAAAAGACGCTAATTGACGCAGTATCTTCCCGTGTTCCGTGTATCACGCATTCTTTCCTTTATTCTGCAACAGTTCTGCAGCAATAATTAATGATAGTACCCTTGCTCTATTCTTTTCTGTGTAACCTACGTATACGTCTTATTGTTGTATTAAATTTCTGTCATGTATTGATTATCTTTCTACTTTTTATACCTTTTATTGAGTATTTTTCATCTGCTTTCTTCTACATGTATGTACATATGCATCTTCTGTATCAATTTTTCTTGTTCTATTATCATATTTCGTATTCTATTTCTGTTATCTTTTATTCTACATACTCGATGCAAACTACAACATTTCTCTGAAATAAAAAGAGAAGTTACAATTCCATTCAAGCAACTACGTTTCTTTCCTCAGTAGATTGTTAATAGACATTTCACTTTGAACCCTTTAACTTTTCAAAGCAGTTTCAAATTACATAATTGAATTTAAGTTTCCAATTATTCCTCAATTACTTATGAAAGATTACCAGGGAACATGAGCTTCCAATTTATTAACATAAATTGTCCTATTGTCTGCTGCACTTTATGTGAGTCGGAACCAGCAGAATCACTGTGAAGCTTGTTTGTATGTACATCCACGATTTCACTCGGATATGTTGCACGCCCGTCGAGACAAAGTGGCGGCAAAGGTGAACTCTCCACTATGTATGCAGCTGTCTGTGCGTGTTTGTGTGTGTGTATGGGTGCCCGTATATCGGAGGCGGTGCGAGTAATACATAAATCAGCTGGTCTGCTGGCTGCCATATCATTTGGTACAACGACCCATGAATGAATAGACCCGTGTTTGAGTTATCGTTCTACCAGCTCTTTCAAAATCTAGCGCAGCCCCGAGGGTCTTCAGCCTTTTCACGCATTTAAGCGCGTCGCGCCGCCGCGCCGCTGTGCCGACAAGCCTTTGTATACGTACACGTATACATATATACATATATGACCGCCGTACCCGAAGCGAAATCGTGTATAACAACTACAAAAGTACCGTTGCAGTTTAAGTACTGATTAATAAAGTTAATTCAACCTCGCGCCATGATATATCCAGTCGTAGTTAATTAATTAAACACGAACGTGAGTTTCAAAAATACGTTGCCAAATTCTCCATAATCGTATCAAGTACAAATTACCTTGGAATAATGCTTTAAACCTCTCCTATAAATTCCGTATTTTATAATCCATGTTTTATGACCATGAAAGTGAAAGTTATGAACGAGCTGAGGGTTCTATGAATTTATAGAGATTGTATAGAAAATACAAAAAAATGCAATTTGAAGAGTAAATGAAATCTTGTTTTAAATTGTATTTGTGTGTGTGTGTGTTAAATTGACATCACAAAAATGTTGCTTTTCACAAAAATTGCCAAGCTATAGTTATGAAAGACCAAAGATGTAGGAGAGGATTAATTCTTCAAAAATAATTCGTGTCTAAATTGATTATGGCAAACACCGTATAAAAATTCAATCGATATCATTAAACTGCTCATTTCTGTAGATACATTTGTGAAAAATTTAAATACGTGGAAGTCTGAAGTTTGCAAAAATTAGGTGAATCGAACAGCAAGAGGATTAACACGGGGCAACTTCTCCATGTAACGTGCATTTTGTATCAGTTCCAAGTAAGTTAGACGTAGATTTTTTAGATGTAACATGGCCATTCAAAAAAAACATTGTTTTGTCGGAAAGAAGAATCGAACGAAATTAAATGGCTGCCTTGTTACTGAAGTCTTATGGAAGATTCGTCCTGAACTGTCTCAAGCGTGTTTCGAATAGCAGTAGGTTCGCGATAGCAGCTGATTTCCACTTCACGGCAATTAATTTAGCTAAATGCGTCGTGAGTACAATACTTACTGATTTGTAACCATCTTGCTGTGCAATGCATACACAACGTATATGAAATAGCGATTACGCCATTGACGATGTGACATTAATGAAACCTAAACTAAAGTTAGTACTGTAAACAAAGCAGCAATTTTGAATTAACACTATAGTAATTTTGAATTATAAATTATGACAATGGAGAGATTGAATAAAATTTTGAACCTTTCGTCAATTTCATTTTATGATTCATATTTTTGTAGAACAAACCAGCTTATCAGACACGGTTGGCACTACCTCTCGATTACGACACGGTAGTAGACTTCATGTGCGAGGAATATTACAAGATGGAACCGACAATCGTCAACATAGGTTTAGGAAACACAGAGGCACCACCTGTGATGCGGGCGTTGCTCTACGAGCAAGTAAAAGCCGGATTGAGCATTATCGCCGAGGATCGAGAGAACTGCATAATTGGCGCGGCTTTGAATTACGTCACGGGCATGAACGAGGGAAAGAGACTGTACGAGATCGCGAAATGTTGCGAGTGTGGCCCTATGCGCGATGTCGTCGAGTTTTGGGCGTTCATAGCAGACGCGCCTCGGATCTGGGAACGTTATTGCATCGCGAGAATCTTCGAACAGGCTACCTTGTGCGTCAGTAAGGACTATCAACAGTTAGGCATCGCCACAAGATTGGTCCAGGAGAGTTGGGTGTTGGCTCGTGACTGCGGTTACAGGTTGTTCCGCATAGACTGCATGAGCTCGTAGGTTCCCTTTCAATAATATTCATATGTGCAGTTTCTAATATATGTGTATATACCATTCGTGTTTTAAGACATATCATAAAACATATAGCTGAATGAAACATATGATACACATCTTTAAATGAATTAAATATGGTATTAGATATTTCAATGTATAAGTATGTTAAAAAGAAGTCTTGTATTATTTTCATGCATCATTTCAGGCAATTTAATCAGATATTCTTATCAGTGAACTGTGTAACACCATTTGGAATATTAAATTCAATATTTCATTTTGCATCGGGACACATAGAATATAAATCGTTAACGAACTGAAGAAATGTTCATTTTTCAATGAAATTATTAATTGAAAATTATTTTTCTTTGTGTAAAGAATTTTATTAAAACTTACTGTAACTGTAAAAGACTTACTGTAGAATTCTGACTGTAGGATTATTACTCTATAATGTATTAATATGATTATTACTACATTATTTGTCATATGATTATAATGTATATGGTTAAAGGTACACTGCTAACATTGCGCGAGGTTTCGGATGGCCGATGCTTTTCGACATACCATTTAGTCAGTACGTGAAGAACGGCGAGGTGTTGTTCAAATGTGTAAAGGAGCCGCACACAGTATGCCGTGTGTTCGTCGATCACTTGCAGTATTGTAAAACTTACTGCCCGCCTTATAAAAAGTGTACAACTGTCACCGCCCCCCCAACAGACGTTAAACCGAAGAAAGACATAAAATAAATTCTATTTAAGGCTACACGATAATACAGTAACTGCACATTTTTTTACTTAAAGATAGTAATCATTAAATTGCGAATTTTATCCATTCAGTATTAAAGGAAATAAGGATTATTCAGAGACTAAATGTATATTTTCAATTTTAAAGGACGAAGGAAGTTCCTATTTCATTTTCTAAAATGTCTTATTTTGCCTAAAAATCCGTAGTCCAGGAATAATTGTTAGTTCTCTTTTTTAACGCAGAATGGTCAATCTTAAATCGAGAATTAGTTTACATGTATGTAATTCTATTTTGTGGCTCGGTTCAACTAAAAATGTTTGTTCTAATTTGAACTTGAGAACGGAATTGGGCGTCGATTATGTCACGGTTAAAAATAATTGTCGCCGATTGATCGACGCAAACGAGGTTCCAGAATGAAACCAATCCGCGGCACATAAATTGTCCGGCGTCGTGTGTATTTTTACTGTCGACAGGTTCGGAAAGTGGCCGGCAAATTGCCGCTCGATTTGATCTATTGCCGGCCGGGTTGACTCATTTGTAAAACAATTTCAGACGGACGCCCCGAATCGTCCATTACCGATCCCGTTATTGCCGGAATTCGGGAACGCGGCGCGGGGTCTGCAAACAGCCGAGCCGATTCCATCGATTTAACAACGCATTCGCGGTCATTTTATGAGATCGTCATTGGAACAATGACAATACTTTACACGAAGTCATTATTGGATTGACAGAGTTCAGTATATTAACCGCTGTCTTCGTGTGTTAAGTGTTGTTCATTATGGAACTCATTCTGGTAATGTTTGTTTTCATCTTTTCATTAATGTGCTTCACTAGACTACTTCATCTACTGATTTCTTTCTGAAATAAACACCGATTGGCTGACAGACTCGAATTTATAAGTTCATAAATCCTACAAATGTTATTCGCTAATGTGTAAGATTCATTTTTCTGAACATACACATATTTGAGTATATAATTTATTGTTGCTCTACTTTCTATACTGCTGAATGATTTCGATAAATTTTAAGTGTATCAAAAAAGACAATCGTATATGGAACGTCTCCTGAGAAACGGTAATTTCCGTAGTGTTCCATCATCCCCCTAAAGTCAACACAATTGATAAAATCCAATGGTATCCATCAAGATTCGATCCCTGATAGAACTTTAAATACCATTGGCCACATTAGAACGCGATCGGTGCTCGGACCGGAAACCGGACAGAAGATAGGGAATGGGATATCTAGAAACCCGGCGACGGTCGTAATTCAGGAACGGCCGTGGATCCTATTTCTAGGCAGAAGTAAGATCGACGTCGGTTGTAAGTATAGCATCCAAGATGGATTAGGATTCGGGGTTCGTGGCCGTCGTTCTCCTCTACTCTCAAAAACGATCCGGCGTCGATCTCAAAGCCGTAATGATTAATGGAGTTAGGGCGTTGCGCGCAGTTTCCCGCGTAATACCGTGGCAACTATCGAGTCGGAATTACAGTTGAGAAACTTCGGGGTGAGTTAGGCGACCGTCGTCGCCGTCTCGGTCGGAGAGGAATCCTCCGACAGCGACGGCTTCGCAGCCATCCGACCACGTACCAAACTCGATTTGATTTTGATTCGACGTACACTGGAAACGCATTTAATGCATGAGCATTACGTGCCGAAGTACGCGTGTATCGACTGAGAATGAACCGCCCTCCGTCGCGTCCCGGTGAGCGAAACACGAGCCTGTGGATCATACCTCCTCAAGACAGAAAATCTTCGGAGTAGTAGTTAGCATTTAGAGAATTCTCTCCAGGTATTTGAATAATAATTAAATTGTAATTCGTATTTGTCTGATCCAATCAATTCGAGCAACGACGAGATATTTTAGGATTCTCAAGTTCAATCAATATCATGAGAAAAATCACCGGTGCTTAAGAGATGGGACGACACCCCATTTCATCTTTCTGATTCGAATCGGCATTCCGCGCTTCGCGTTCGAATTTCATCGTAGTTGATTGTCAGTCGAAACAAGAAAGGAGATTAAAGCGAATCTCAGTGAAAAACGGGATTTTTCTGGCCGAGTGAAAAGGCGACGCGACGCTCTCGAGTACTCTTCAAGACTGAATCAAATCGATAGAATTCGACACCGGGTTTCCACTAGAAAAACCACGTTTCTGTGGCAGCGCTGGTGAAAACTCCCTGTCGACGACGTGCGACGATTTGTCGTCGCTTTGAATTCCCACCCTCCGACCTGCACCACCCGCGAGGGTAATATCGAGCCAGAGCGGCAAAGAACTTTTGTCATTCTTCCGCATCGGCGATGGTTCTACGTGAAACAGGATTTTCGCCGTCAATCTCCACCGCGCAGAGTCCCCTCTTTACTAAAGTGTTCACAGCGACGGGCCCACAGGCATTGTGCACGGTTCTCTTTATGCCGGTCATTGTTCTAACCATTCCAGACGCGGAAACACAGTAATTAAATTTTACGTCATCTCAAGAGCGCCGCCATCTCGTACGGTACGTGAGTATATCCCGTACCTGTTGATGATCACTAACTTCTTCGTTTGCTCTTGTCGTTGCCGAGAAGGCTATAATCCTGATATTTAAATCTCAGACTTTCATATAAAGTAAAATATTTATGTTAGTTTAAAAAATGCGATGTAAATAAATATTTCTTTGATCATTAAAAATTGAAATGTGTATCCAGCTTTAATATTCTGAATAGTTTTATACATTATGCGCAGCATAAATAATTTCTGCACATTCCATTTCCTTACAAATCCATCTTTGTATATATAATTTCTGCAAACTAACTTTTCATATAAATCTATCAGAACTGAAATCTATCTCATTTTCATCTTACGAAACTGAACATTTTCTTGCATTTATAGAAAATTTTCATGTAAAATAGTACACGTGATAAACATAATGTACAAAAATATACATATGTATAAAATAGTTTTATCAAATTTCTATCACACATTATTGTATATTCAATTACATTCTGTCATTATTGCATTACATTTCCTGCAAGATGCTAGTAAAACGTTATCTTCGATTTTATTAGATAGATTAATAATTAAAATGTAGCACTACTTCTGATCGTTGAACACACTCGAAGCACCGCGCGTGGTGGAAAAGAGAAAAGCGTTCCTATAACGATGTATACTTTACTTATAAAAGCAACATTACTTTTTTCAAAGCGTGATCGCCCGAAAAGATTCTACAGGTAAAATTATAAGAAATGTACTAAAAAACTATTTTGTCGTTAACCATAAGAAATATAAATCATTTTGCACGAATTACAACGTAAAAATAGATTATGAACATTCTCTTCTTAATCGAGGTGTTACGCAATCGGTGGCGCCGATCAGTGGATTTTCAAGTCTATGCTTTACATCGACCCAAAATAAGTATTATAGCGTAGCGTTTGAATTGAATTTGAAACCATTCCCATAGCTCATAGTGTTGGATTTGATTATTTCATCATTCATCTGAATTTGCCGCGCGATCTCTGACGTCGCACGAGGTCGACTCTCCATTGGCTCTTCAGTTTGAGGCGAGAACCACAATCTTCTTGTGTTCTGACCATGCTTCTACGCCGTTCGTTCATCAGTTAATTCAAAGCGTTTATTTTATTGTATTTTTTTTATTAGAAGAGTTAAATTAAAACAGTGAAGTTAAGGTGAATAAAAGGGTGTTTTCTTTGTTCACTTTCCTAGCCTCCACATTATTTGGACGGGCCGGCCGACTGCTGAATCGGTTATCGTCCTTTAGTATCAAAATTTACAACACATAGTAATATTTCATTGAAATTGTTAGAGACGTTAAACAAGTCCTGGGGAAAAAATATATTCTATACTTCCATATAGTGGCTTGAGGGAATCTGCGGCGGACCATGCTACTGTTACATTACACTAGACAATTTTACATAAATATACGTTGTTTTACTTATTACACAATAAATCTTAATCTTGTACAATTCAGAAGAGAATAAAACTGATGGTTTTATTTATTGAAACCAACAAATTGATCATATACTACTTTATTTTATTTACCTACAATTATGAGTTTGAAATTACCTACAACTATGAAATTGTAAAAAAAATACGTTAGGTAAAGATCTGAGTAAAATATTTCTCCTACGTATTTCCAATATTAATCTGAAGCCTCTACTAAATGGATCTACTAAATGGATTCATCCTGTATACCTGACAACAAAATCTATCCGAATACAGGATAAATCCTAAGCAGCGAGAGTAATCATTCTTGAGAATTGAAGAACATGTCCGTCTATCGAAGAGATTCCGCTCTCTGGACGCGTCAAGCGAACCGACTTAATCTGCATAATTCTAACTATAGATGTAGCGGATCATTCCGTATTTCACAGAAACACGAGCGATCCGTAATTCCACTGATATCGGGAAATTATTCGAATTGCAATAGTTTGATGGCCGACCCCTTCGTGACCGCCTAGGTGAGACAACATCTTTTGGCAACTGATTCAGCTACCACCATTATGCGTGAATTAACATTAGAAGAGAAATACGCGCGAAATAATCAACAAACACTCGAGATATTTTTGCTATTTGCGTTTTATTTTGTAATTTGAAGTATCAACACCGAAATTCCATCTCCAGTTTCATAAAACTGTAAAATGTTTTCTCTCGTTTGGCGAATGTTAGTATAGCTGGAAATATTTCTCTACAAATACGAAACTCTATATTTAACACCTTCTTCCTATGTTATAAATTTCTATAATAAATATGGTGTAAAGCAAACAGTTCGTATATTTACAACCAGAATAAAGGCTTGAACAGGTTTGTAAAGTTTCACTTTTTATTCAGGACAACCAAATCGTTTTAGTCTTATTTTTGATTAGTCTAAACAATTTCGCTAAACCGCAACGGTTTCACATTATCGACACGTCCTGCAGTTCTGTTCTCGTTAAGATATAAAACCACCCCTCATACCGTCAGGTGTTGCAGATAACGCTGACCGTTGAAAGAATTCGATTCCGCTGTTTC